AAACAGCAACATAACAGGAGATGTTTCACCAAAAATATTTTGATGATCAAAAGCATTGAGCAATGATCGTTATGGCGTGCCAGCTATCAAATTTGCTTTGCAGAAAAGTTGGCGCTCTTTCCCTTTCCAGGAAAAAACTTTAGAACATTGACAATGTTGTCTCAAAAACCTGGAGCATCAAACCATGGATCACTCAAATCTTCCAGTTAAAGCAAGATCATGGTTTTCTTCTTTTGCTTGCTTGCTAGATCTTTTTTTTGGGATGGAAAAATGGTTCCATGTGATTGCCAGACAAAGATTCATGTTCTTCCAGCCTTTAAGAATAGACACCACACACAAGAGAGAGAGAGAGAGTATATAAAAAAAACAGCACCTTGGTGGTCAGGAGATCCAACGGCTGGAATGGACACATCCAACGGCCGCCAGCCAGCCATCTTCATCAAAGGAAAAACAAAAAAAATGCTCTCCATTTTTCCTCTTCTTTTATAATCATCCTAGCTTTGATTGGCAATGGGATTACAGTACACTCCCCCGAGGGACGCCCGAGCTGCGAAGAACACATTCGTCAAAACTTCGAGAGATTTTGTCACGAAAGAAAGGAAAGGTTTCTCACATTTTCTGTGCGGCCTCAAAGCATAAGCGGCAACCTCCGCAGCGACGTCGAGCTCGAAAGCTAGAGCTTCGGCGGTTTCCAGCTCCCGAGCTGCCATCTCGGCTTCCTGCGCCAGAGCATCCGCCTCGGCTACGCGCGTCGCGGCTACCAACGATGCCTCCTCCGACTCCCTAACTATCAGTGTTGCTGTCTCTATGTCCATCTTTGGCTTCTTCGACTTTACTGCCCTCTTAGCGTCCCGGCCGAATGCTTTCTCGTCGTCGCTGTCGGGCCTCTGTCCTCCCCTGGGTTTGGAAGAGCCTGTATTGATCTTGTAGTTTTGATCCACCTGCGAGAGCATTCACCATGGATTGAATCGTTTCATGGCAAAGAAACACGACTTACTTTCATCAACTTGCCTTGCACTGTTAAAGCTTTTAGCTTCGCGTTCAAAAGTTTCCGAAAGTTTGGCGGAACCATATGGTGCTCCTGTAAGAGAGAAATGGATCAAAACCTCGCAGACGATGGATGAGAAGTGTACCTCCACGAAGTTAGCAATCGCCGCACTACTAGAACCACCGGGATGTTTCATAACTATAATGGCTTCCAAAATAAAGTCGTCATAACTGTGGAAAGCAAGCCCGTAAGTTTCTTCAGAGATAGAGGGAAACTAGTCACAAAAAGAAAAATTTGTCACCTTTGCGGACTTGTTTCACTGGGTGTTGATGCCATCTCTCTCATTTCTTGATAAGCTGCTGGATCGGGGAAAGCTCCCAAGGGGTCAATCTGCAAAGGACTCAATCCAGCGTCCATGGATTTCCTCATGCCGCCTCCACTCGGCAGTCCCAGGACTTTGGAGGACCTTGGACCGCCGGGACCAGAACAAGCACTCAAATTCCTCCATTTGTCCTGCCAAGACCAAAATCAAAACGAAAGAAGAAGATGAGGAGAGGGAAGAACCAAAGAGAGAAAAGGAAGTTCCAATTTCTCGGGTCACAGTACCTTCAAGTCGACATTAGAGCGAGATTTGAGAACGGGGCCAAATTTTGGATCCTTCTGGATTGCCCGCCACTTCCCCGCTCCATATTTCTCCACGCCGGCGCGCAATGCCGCTTCCTCTTCTGGAGTCCATTTCTGTTTCGGCGCTCCCATTTTACAATGCTAGCAGCTATGGCTGAGCTCAAGATCACCCACACGCGGAGCTACGATAAAACAAGAAGAATCTCCCAGCGCTGTGGAAATCACACCTCACCTGTGGCCCACGCGCCCAGAGCGGAGCTTTGTGGAGCTTCCCGCTCCCGGGATTGTCAAGAGCGAAGCAGCGAAGCAGAGAACTCTTCGCCACAAGCCCTAAACCTAATACGTGAGACCTAAAAAAGGGGTTTTAAATGTTTTCACCGAGTTTAATTAGCGCGCACAAACCTAGGCACCTTTTTATTGAATATGATTCTATAAAATAGTTCTGATATGTTATTTACAATTAAAAAATGCGATTTTCCATTATGTTTTTAATTATAGCTCTGTAACATTTTTTCACTTTTTGAGTTTTAAACCTTAGTCTATACATTAATGTTTGTTTTTAAGGGTGCCACCAATTTTGAAATAATGATATAAATAAAAACATATTGTAGCTAAAAAATTAAGATTTTATGAATAAATAATTTTAGAAAATTTAGAAAATTTTATTAATATTCATTGCATCTGTATTTTAAGTAATATTTCTTTCATATTGTTACTTTAAAATAAGTTAATATATTTGCCAAAATTGATATTTTTACATCAACTTAGTTAATAAAACATATTGAAAACTCTTTTTTAATATTAATATTATATAAATTTTACGCTTTTCAAAAGATATTCATCTTTCATATAATGTTATAACTTTCAAAGTTCTTATAATTTATATGATTTCAATTAAAATTTATTATAAATAAAGAAAATATAATATGCATTAGTATCAACAGAATAAGTGCATACAATTTTAATTGAAACTATATAAAATTAACAATAAATAAATTAATTTTTAGAAGATATTTCTATAGAATAAAAAAGTACAAACTTAGAAAGACTAGAATTTTCATTATAAAGATATCTGATATTAATATTTTCATCAGTATTGGATATATAACTTTTAATATTGTTGTATTATATTAGAAAATATTGCTTTTTTGCATTCAATAAATATAGTTATAATAACTTTTAAATATTATAAAAATAAAAAATATTTATAATTTTTATAATTTTTATATCTATAATACCATATACCATTCTAAATATATTAAGGTTTTGATAATTATAAAATTGATTTAAATTTAAAATATATATATAAACTAAGGTTTTGGGCAAATTGAATATACATATTTTTGTATTCTATACAATCATATTAGTGGAGGTGAAGGGTAACTCTCATTGTCTATATGGAGTATTTAGATTTATACTTTTGATTTATATTTAATTCACACTCTTGTGAATGAAAGCTAAGAGCCACAACTTTCCCAAAAGCCCCACACTCTTGACACCCAATATCTTACCTCTTTGTAAGGAACCAACTCCCCAAGGTGTCGTAGGCTAAAGGATCCCCGAAAGTAGGACTGAAATGATAAAGAGTTCATCGGATGGGATCAAGTTCGAGATTGAGTCCAAGACCGACTTTGAGACCAAGTTCGAGATAGAGTCCGGGATCAAGTTCGAGGCCGACTCCAAGGCCAAATTTAATATTGAGTTCGAGATCAAGTTCGAGACAGAGTCCGAGATTTGAGATTGGGTCCAAGACAAAGTTCAAGGTCGAGTTCGAAGTCGAGTCCAAGATCGGGTTCGAGGTCGAGTTTGAGATCAAGTGAGGAAACTTCCAAACAGGAATCCGGTGGTGAGGTTCGGTCATCCAAGACTCGATTGGACATTCTAGAAGGACAATTGGCACAGACCAATGCCATGTTAGAGACTTTCATACGCAAGCTAAAACGTGATAAAAAACGAAAGAAAAGGCGAAAGACTGCAGATGCTAGTAGCGCAGAAGGTGTGGACCCTTCAGCAGGGACTGAGGCAGAACTGAACAAAGTTGAATAGACCAAAGTGGAATCAGTCCCTTAGGCAGTTCCCAAGTACAAACCAAAACCCCCACTAGTCTTCAAAGGAGTGAATGATTATAAGGTGGTGGAGGATTGGTTTCACAATATGGAAGACTACTTCCGAGCATTGCGGTTACCGAGCTCGAAGAAAGTCTTATGTGCAAAGCTATACTTCGCAGATAATGCTAAGTCTTGGTGGAGAATAACAAAGGCCAACGAAGGACCGGTGGCCATTTGGGAAATGATGAAGGCAAGGATCTATGTGACTTATGTTCATCCAAATGCTACTCTGCACCTAAGGGATGAGCTGAGTAGGCTGAAGCAAACCAGAACCATTAAAAAATATGTGAATAGGTTTATGGCAAAGAGGATACTTGTCACGGATATGGGTGATATGAATGCGTTCCATGCCTTCATATCAAGCTTGCAAACCTGGGCTTGCGGTGAGGTGATGTGTTGGAACCTGACCAATTACAAAGAAGATTTGAATGTGGCTATCAAAATGCATTTCAATGATAACCTGCGAAAGGGGAACACGACAGGGTTGGGGTCCACATTTAGCAAAGGGGCCAAACCAAGGGGAACATATAGCAAAGGGAAATTCAAGAGGAGTTTCTCTAAGAATAAGTCCTCGGGGTTCCGGAAAGGCAAATCTGGTGGCCAGCGAGCAAGTACGTGGGGGAGTCAAGCAGAAAAAGACAAACCCATAGATAAGAATATCAAGTCTGTTAGCAGCGTGGGAAACAACATATGTTACAACTGCAATGAAGCGGGACACTTTTCGAGGGAATGTCCCTACCCGAAAAAGGCCAGATCCAATATGGCCATTAAGTCAAGTGAAATCCAAATTGAGGTATGTGATCTAATCCTTAGCTTAAAGTTACTCATTACGCAAGCAACTTTGGTAGAGAGTCATTCGTGACATCTACGAGCCCTTCAAGGGAAGCTCGGAGGTAGCTTTGTTAAGATCTTTATTGACATGGGTACTTCAGATAATTTTGTAGCTGTAGATATAATCCAGCAAGCTGGACTAACGGTGCAGCGGTTGGGTGAACCAAGGATGATAGAGTTTGTTCAAGGTAGCCAAAGCACCGATGAGATACTTCGACAAGCGAGAGTCGAAATAAGGACATAGAAAGTAGACATGGATTTCATTGCATTTGATATAGCGGGATTTGACATAATCTTTGAAATGGACTGGTTCAATCGGTTCATAGTAGCTTTGCATGGACAAGGGAGGAACTTTGTGGTACTGGCGAATGCCTGGGGAGAACGATCCAGGGTGGAGGCCCAAGATCTAAAGGTAGGACAAAGTAAGGCCAAAGACTCCTGCTTAAACCTGGTGTCCACGAGAAGACAACTCACTAAAGGAATTAAGGTAGCATTTTTATGTGTACTCTCGGTGAAGAGTGATAAAAGATGGGAATGGAAGAAGTACCTTTAGTAATCCAGCGGGTGTTGGACCAATTCCAGGATACCATGCCAAAGGAGCTACCGGTGGGGTTGCCCCCCACACAACCAATAGAACACAAGATTAAGTTAGTTGAGGGTGCTAAAGCAGTGGTTCGTCCCTTCTATCATTTGAACAAAAAGGAACTCAAAGAGCTCAAGTGCCAACTAGAAGAGTTGGTGAACAAAGGGTATATTAGGTTGAGCAAGTTGTTGTATGAGGCACCGGTGTTATTTGTGAAAAGAAAAGATGGATCTATGTGCATGTGCATAAACTACTGATTGCTCAACAAGTATACAAAGAAAAACAAACACCCTTTATCAAGGATTAAGGATTTGTTTGATAGGTTGGGAAAGGCAAAATACTTCTTAAAGATTGACCTAAGGGCAGGATACTACCAGATCAGGGTAGCAGAGGAAGATGTCGAGAAGACAACCTGTCGAATAAAGTATGGGAGCTTCGAGTTTTTAGTGATGCCCTTTGGGCTGTGCAATGCGCTAGCAATGTTTTCGACACTGATAAACCACATCTTTATACCATATTTGGATCATTTCGTGGTCGTTTATATTGACAACATCCTAATCTATAGCGAAATGCTAGAGGAGCATGCTAAACACTTGACGAAGGTGTTTGAGAAACTAAGGGAACACAAGTTGTATGCTAAAGAGAGCAAATATGATTTTACTCAACAAAAGGTAAAGTTTCTCGGGTACGTGGTGGGCAAGGACAGGCTCAAGGAGGACCTTAAGAAGGTCCAAGCAATCCAATAATGGGAGTGACTATCGAATGTACATGAGTTGAGAGCATTCTTGGGGCTATGCAACTACTACCGAAAGTTTATCAAACACTATTCGAGAATAACCTTGCCCTTAACAGACCAAACATGTAAAGGGAAGATGGTATGGATAGCGGAATGCGAGGCGGCATTTGTCCACCTCAAGGGAAGTTGAGGAAGACCCCCATGTTGGTGTTACCCGACTTTGGTAAGGACTTTGAGGTAAAACTGGATGCTTCGGACTTTGCATTGGGTGTAGTTTTGAAGCAAGACAACCACCCAGTGGCATTCTTCTTGAAGAAGTTTGACAAGGCTTAGCGAAAATGGCCTGCCCACGAGAAGAAATTATTTGTGGTGGTCAAAGTTCTCAAGGAGTGGCGACACTACCTTGGGAGGCATTTCAAAATTTACATGGATAATGTGGCAATGAAACACTTCTTGTCACAACCCGACCTAAGAGGGAAACAAGGTCAGTGGGCTAACGCTTTGGCTGAGTTTGATTGCAAGATTTTGTATAAACCTGGGAAGAGCAACATCGTGGTAGATGCTCTAAGTCAAAAAGCAAGCTTGAAGTTGGCGATATCTAGCACAATAGCAACCTTTTGGGACAATGTGCGAATAATGTATGAGAGCAATGGTCTAGCATAATAAATGTTGCTGAGGAACCAAGAGGCACAAGAAACTCACCAAAGAGGTGAGTTGCCAATGGAAGAAAAAATAGGTTATAGGAAACGCAATAGACTCATTTATTATAAACAAATGAGAGTGTATGTTCCAGAAGGGGAATTAAGGAAGGTAATCTTAAAAGAGTGTCATGATGGACCTCTTGCAGAACACGGCCGAGTGCCCAAGACGATGGGTTTACTCAAGAGGAAGTATCATTGGCCAGATATGGCTAAGGATATCCAAGACTATGTAAAGACATGTCTAACATATCAGCAAGTCAAAGCTATGACTAAGGCTAATGAAGGCTTGTTACAAAGCATCCCAATTCCAGATCACCCGTGGAATTGTCTTACGATGGACTTCATCATGGGACTCCCCCCAAGTGA